GCCATTTCAATGCCACACGAGCCGCCATGCCAATCATCAATTTGGCATTCAATCTACGAGATTGCTCATATATATCAATATAATTATCTGTCATTATTGTTCGGGCGAACACATTACGCGAACATTGTTTGCTTCGCTATCGATTGTCTCGGATCGGTGTTCACTGTTCAGGTCTGTAGTCACTAGTAGCGCTGTTGTTGTCCTTGCTAATCGAATTCAGCATTATGATTTGCTTTACAAATTTATTGCTTTTGAAATTGGCCTAAACGCGTGGAATTAGGCATACAGCAAGGCAGTTAAATATAAACAAGGATATGAGAGCGAGCCAACCCCGGGGACTGACACGTGAGCCCCAGATCAAGGGAACCAAATAAGGCTAAACAGCTCAATTAGTTTCCCGGCAGAATGATTTATTGACAGGTTACCTCAAATCTATAACATCCATAGCTATATTCTTTTAGTGGGTTTATCGGTCAGTTTAGATATCTCACAAGGTCTTGCCACACCCCAAAAAATATACGCATTTATTAATCAAAACTAATTTAATTATAAAAAATCTGCTTATCGGTTCAGCTACCTGATATTTTTCAACAAATTTGGCCAAAGAAGCCGCCGATAAGGCAGCCCACAAAGCCAACCCTCCCAGAAATGTCCCTTCTGGGTTGGTGAGGGTGGAATTTTCCATAAATCCATTATACGAGTGCTAAGCTGACCTCCTCAAAATTCCAAGGAGATAATCAGGTAGAAAGTTTCTTTGTTTTGCTTGCGTTCTACACAAATATTTATTTGAATTGCCCATCAGAAATGGAAAATTAACAAGATTGTAGTCGTAGCGTTGAGGCGACTTGATTTGCATCACGTATACCGCCTAGTAAACCTTCAAAAGTAATTTTTTCCATAGTGATAAGGCGAAAATGGTTAGCCAAATATTAGAAGTTTCAATAATGGAAAAACAGAGGTTACATATTTGAATATTAATTTGTAAATTGATTAGTTCTAAGCCTTAAAATTTGCAGCTTATAAATTAGTCTTCATTAAACTTAAAGTTTCTATTATAAAATGCCCCTTTTTTGGACACAATTTTGGTGATAAATCATCGTTTAAGTCTTGTGATTCCATGATGGGCCATTTATAATAATTCGATTGCGTGCTTGTTGGAGTAATTGATGTTTCGCTTTAGATCATAAATAAAATATTTGTCTATTGTTAAAAAAAAACATTATTTGCTTTAGCCTTTGCCATGTCAAGTTATTGAAATACTATAAAAAAAAAAAGATAAAATAAAAAGTCTATATGCCACAAATGACATTGACCCGTTTAAAGGCGCCTTCAACGGTGGCAAGAACATCGGCAAAATACAATACATTTTGATAAGAGTCGAAGAACACTCCTACCATTTTTATTTACCCTGTAAATAAATTATAATTCATGGGGCCCCCAATGGGGAAAAACAACAGTTTCTGATTTTTTGCTTGAGTTTTTTGTTTACAAATTTCATGTTGCAATACAAATTGATTGACTGAATAATTGGAATTGAAATTGGATTTTCCAGCAAACGGACAATAATGCATGAATATTTAAATGTGCTATGACAAATGTTTTAGCACGGCTTCTCCTCCTGCCACCGCCTTTCAGTCCCGGCAAGGCAAATGTCAGTGGGCCTGTCAGTTCCTTTGGCAACTCGTTTCCAATATCGGATTCCGAATAAAATTTATGTTCTTGACAGCAACCTTTGACAGCAGTCTTTTTGACTAAAACAAATTCATTAATTAATTTTGCTTTTTGCTATTGAAAAATTGAATAAAAAATAGAACACAATTCTTGCTGAGTTATGGGCTTGGTGACAGAAATAGTTTAAAAATACTCTACGTGAAGTTTATTGAATGAACTTGTAAAAAATGAACACTGGCTGATATTCAAATTTCAATTTAAAAGCCATTATGCATATCAATCCGAAATTTCAATTTAATTCCCATTACAAAATTTATATCTGCCGGAATATAAATATTTTGCGCCACTTCAGATGCAGAGCATTTGTACATTTAGTTAAATTCTGGCACGTTTTCGCAATTGCTTTGCAAATTTGTGACACATTTTATTGCATGAAAAATCGAATGGCGCGCCAAACGCGACCAGGATTGATTGAAAAAAGCCGAAGTGCAAAAACAAAGCTCAGCTGAAAAGCAATAAACTAATAAAAATTTCATTCACAGCAGCCGAAGAGTCTTTAGTGCATCCAAATAAATTTGATTTTTATGCAGCAACTTAATTAAATAGCCAAATGAAAAGAAAACAAAGTCGGAAACAAAAACATCTATTCAGTCTATACACACACCCGAATATCTAGTCCAGACAAACACCATTTCTTGGGTTAGTAGGTGGGGGTGCTCGAAAACTCTGCCAAAAAACTACACAAAAAAATGCATTTTTCAACTGCTCTGCAGCTACAACGGAATTGTTTGAATTTTTTCCTTATTTAAACGAAATTTGTATTTTCCTGTCAAGCCGGTTTTACTTCGTTTTTCTTTTTCTTTGCCATTATTGGACCACACCAGCCATGTGCCACCAGCTACACAGAAAAATTATTTTATAAAAACATTTTTAAATTTTTGCTGATTAATTTTTATAACTTATTAAGTAATAAAGTTTGGTTTAAATTTGAATTTATTTATTTTTTTTTTAACTGTTTTTATTCATGTTAAAAATATTAAGTTTTCGGTGTAGCATGGCTGTTATCCTCGTCATTTGCCAAACCAAACAACTTGCAGCCAATGCTGTGTTGATGCTGCTGTGGCGACTTTTGCTATTTTTAGCAGCTGCAACAAAAAGTTGGGGAAACATTGCTGGCCAGATACTCGGCTTCGTTGTACCTTCCGTCATATGACGGAGGAGAAGGAAAAACAAAAATTAAAAAGTAAATCTTTTTTGCTTTCGTCGGGCTTTGCATATTCAACAGCAGCTCTGGGAACTTTGTCAGTTGGAGGCCATGGGTATGGCGAGCAATTTTTAAGCTGCAATCGGTTCGTAAAACTGAGCAGCTAAAATGCCATTTGTTATTTAAATGAAGCTCCTTAAATGGGAATATTTTTCGCAACCGCTTTTTAGTTTGACAGTTCCCTAAAAGTTTGCGATGAATTGATGTATTATGATAATGAAGTGAGGCAGGTCGGGAAGCTCTATAGTTGTGGAGCATCTCCCTTAAAATTATAGGAAAAAATTATGAGTTTTTAAGGGGTTTTCCAATAAACATTTCTTAGATTTTCAAGTGAACAACGAACTTTTAAAGACCCTGGATTTGTCATTATCCATAACCATAGCCATGCCCATAAATATAGTCATAGATTTAGTCATAGCTTAAGCTATACATGCTATTGCGTTTGCTTGTGGCCCCCAAGGCGCATTCGAAAACATTTACATTTTAGTTCAGACAATTTATGATTGTGTAATAATATTGAAGGCTGCAAATTATAGTCGTAGAGCCCGAAAATGTGGCTATGTCCCAGAGTGGGTGCAAAGGAGGGGGAGAACCGCCGCCAGAAATGATGTTGCACTTTTTGATTCCGTCGGGTTGGGTTATTTGAAATTTGCATAATTTGCAATTTAAGCCAAGTCATGCGTTTTAAATGAGCCAAAGAAAAATGTGGGCTGTGGCGGCTAGCTGGGGAAAGGGGAGAAAATCAACCGTTACTGCTTAAGCGAAAGAAATTCTCAAGGTTGAATTGAAAATTCTATCAGTCTCTCACTCTTTCACCGGCGATGAAATGCTGTTCACCTTAGGGTAAATACTCTGGGCAAATGCTGCAACCTTGGCTATAATTTCCTTGTTGGGGGAGGGGAGGCGGAGGCAGTCGTAATTGCAGCACTTTCACCCCCTTACCAATGACCTACATTAAAGTTGAGGAAATGCATTTGCCGTCGAGAAGCTTCAGGCGAAATCAAATAATTATAGTGCTGTTTGTAGAGTGACAACAGCAACAAAAAACTACGGCAACCACAGTGGCAGCGGCGTCACATGGCGTATGAGTAATTTAAATGAAATTACAAAGTCGCCGCAACTGAATAACCTCCAAAAAATAGCAACAATAAGTGTATCGCGATTGCAATTGAAAACAAGTTCATTGCACATGCGCAGCACATTAGAAGCCAAGCTTTAAGTGGCAGCAACATGTATCTAGCATACTATGTATACCTCGCGCTGGCAACATGTATCGCAACATGGAACCACACACACTTGGAAACGGAAATAAGCCAATAAGCAGGTTTTTGGCCTGCAACAAACGAGTTTATTGCAGCACATGCCGCCAGGTGAGAGAGAAAAAGAGATTGAGGAGTTGAGAGGGTGGCGGGTAGGTAGACAGCACTGAGAGTATGGTGAGAAACCAGGTGCGACTGCGCCTCGATCACAAAAATCCAATGTTGCCAGATGATCATTGAAGAAAACTCCAGAAATGGCCAAAACATAAGATGTTAGGAAGTGTTTTATGGTTTTTGTTATTATTTAGAAGCATTTTGAAGCATGGGGAATTATTTATATCTTAAATAATAAGGTTGGATTATCAAAGTTGATTGTTTCAGTTTCATTCTTCATAAAAATGTTTGTAATAAACAATTTGGATTAGTGGATTAAAGATAATTTTATAGTCATAAAATCCGGGACTCAAAAATGTTGCTTGAATACTTCTAAGGCACAATTAAAAAAAATATATTATTCAGAAATCTTCAAAAAGTATGCCGATGATAACTATAGTCCTCAAGCTTCACCCAATGATGTATCTAACATTTTATTTTGAACCACTATTAAAAGGTATAACTCCCCATATACCCTTATCAGAATTTTTACCATATTGAACCGCCATAAACCACCAGATCTGACGGGAACATAGTTAAACTGGCAACACTGCCGCCGCCACCGTCGTCGGCGATCGTTGAAATCGTTCGGCTGGCTGGTTTTCGGCTCTCGACTTTCTGAGACACTCACCGCTCGTCGTACAAATTTCAAATTTCGTTCGATCACTTTAATTTTTCCATTTGCAACGATCGCATCGCCAAGTAGCTCCGCTCCCCAAGAAACCACAGAGTAGAAAATCCCGCGCCAAACGAAAACGAAACACAAATTTATAAATCAAAAATAAAACAAAAATAAAAATCGCGCGCGCGCTTCAAAAGTCTGTGCTAAATAATGAGATAAATGTGCAGCCGCAGCGAGAAATATTGTAAAGATTATTTTTAAAAATATGATCGGGTTTTGTTGGGCCATGTGTGCGTGGTGGTGGCTCTGACAATTGCAGTCTGTTGATTATTTTTCTGTGCTCATTTTTAGGCCGTCTGTTGCATTTCAGTTGCACATTAATGTCTGCTGGTCCGGCCTCAGCCGTAAAATGCAATTATTAAATTTCATAAAATATTTAAGATAGCCAATGGCATTTCTGGCAGTTCCTTAACCCCAACAGAAATCTGTATCTTTGAGGCGACGAAAATCATCAACAGAATGCAGTTGGAGTAAATAATTTTAATTTATTCAAAATTCAAAATACCCACAGAATTCGGCAACTTCTCTGCTCTTCGTAAAGTGATAAAGAGTGTGAAAATAAAGCCAAACTAAGAAAAAATTCAATAAATTTGGAAAAAGTGCTGTTTTTAAATCCAACCAAAGTGGCAATAAAGTGCAAATTAATACCAATGAGAAATGTGACTAATCAAGCTAAACCATTTGACAAATTCAAATAAATAAGAAAAAGTGTCGAGCCTTAACGAAAAAACATAAACTAAAGGTACATAAATAAATTTTGGATATTTTTGTGTTGTAATGGTTAATAGCTGCGCTTTTTTCGAAATCTTAGTTCAGGCCTCTCTCTTTCTTATCTATTTCTTGGCGATTGTTTTAGGCGCGGCTTGCGGTTTCTTTTTTTTTGCCAGTTTTTCAGTTTCTCTGTGCAGTGAACGGTTTTAATTTTAGTCGGTTGTTTTATTCTACCGTTAGAGTGGTTCGAGCTATTTCTCCCAATCTTAGCTCTGGGTTTTTTGAGGGAAATTCTGTGAAGCAAAAAATGAGTTCCGAAAAGATCAATGCCTGCTTCACATTCACTTTTATGTGCAAGGCAAAATTATTGTTATTACATTCTGAGGCATTTCGCTCGCCTGCAGGTCATGACATCCATGTAATATCTTATTGTTAGTTATTACAATGAGACCCCCCTGTGGCAAAAGCAGCAAACAAAAAAACGAAAAAACAGCTGACCGACAGAAAAAACAAATGAAAAAACTTGGCCAACAATGACGAATACGACCGACAGAAAAAAAAAATAATAAAAACCAAAGACCTACGCCTAATTTAAGGTCATCAGCACAATAAAACAACAACAATGACAATGGCAACCGACGATGAAGAAGAGGCAGGCAGCTTGGCTACAAAAAGTTCAAGTCGCCAGTTTCTCTGGCTTGTCGCCTCGTCATTTTTGATATTCGGATTTTCTGATTTTGTCTATGGCTTGGACTGGCATAGCTTGGCATGGCATGGCCCTTCTTCCATGCCATTTGTGTGGAGAATTAAAAGGCAACGGTATACCAAAAAGTAATGGACATAAACCCACACGTACATATTCGTAGTTACGGGCCAAATACAGTTTGTTTTTTCCCTCCCAAAATCTCATTTGCCTTTACGACTTGACCCGCAAAAAGTTGCCATACTCATAAATTAAATCCAAAACTTTACTGGCAAACAATAATTATATAAACAACTTTTAAATTCAAATTAAACAAATATTCTCATCTTATATACAAAAAAAAACTAACCAAAAACTAGTTTAAAACATAAAATATTTCGCAGACAGTTTGGCGACTTTCGGAAATCTCTTTGATTTTTGAGAAAAAAGAGAATTCTCAGTTCAAGTCTCTTTCCAATTTGTTTTTAGTATAGGTCTCGTGTTCTTTTATTTATGTTTTTTTAAAAATAGCCCCAAAAAATGCGTAAAATGAGCAGACAAAAACAAATTAAAATTAGAATGTTAAAGCAAAAAAATGACATACTTAAGCACTCGAAAGTGAAATGTTTGTATCTGTTGTTTGAGTTTTTTTTCAATAAAAATATATATACATTTAGTGCGATGCAATCGATCAAAATTTGATAGCATAATAAATACGGATTAACTTTTCAGTTTCCATTTTGACGCAATTCAGCTAAATGCCGCACAAAGCGCTGATATAATTTTTATTGACAAAGCCATTTATCACGATGTCCCGCTAGGTGTGCATAAATTTTAGGCCACGTGATGGCGTCCCACTTGCCGATAGAGAATATTAATAATTATTAGGTTCTATACTGATATTTTTTAGTCTGTTCTATACGTGTTTGTTCTCGATTCTACTGAAAACTGGGCGTGGTTCACGTAAGCCTGCAATCCAGTCAGCAATTAAAGTTGTCAGGAAACAGTTGAAAGAAATATAAGAAGAAATATAATATGGACTACGCCGGCACATAAACAGAATTAATAAATTGCAAAAGCAACACGGAAATGCAATTTCCCAGCAAGTATCTACGCGTAGCTTTTGCATCTGGTTTTTAATACTTTTTATTGATTTTAAGTGACAACCAGAGACCGTAGCCGGCACAAGGAAGTACATTCCTGAGTCACTTGGTGGCCAAAAGGAGGCTTGTCACAAAACACAGAATATTTAAATCAATAATTAACATACACATATATGTTTTAACATTTTTTATGCGTTGTTCTCTTTTATGTGATTTATTTATGGGCTTTTGTTTGCCGCTGTTCACTTTACTTACCTGCCTGATATTTACTTGGTCTCAGACAAAGAGGCTTACTGATATTTGTTTGGTCAGGTTGGCGTGAAAAAATTGTCATAATTGCACAAATAAATATGAATCTATACAAACATATTTTTATAAATACCCACGAAATTCAAACAAAGGCACTTTACACGTCCGGCCAAGTGTTTCGAAGATTGTTTGGGCAGCCCAGTCTCCCCAGCCTCTCTCCACACACAAGTTTTTGATTTATTGTCGAGAATCAATGATTTAATAAACAAAATTTTTAAATATCTTGAAGAGTGGTCGTAAAATGTTTATTACAATCTGGGCCAAAGTGTGCCAAAGCTTCCGAATGCAGCTGCCAAAAAAAGATGGTTGGCCGAAATGCTCAATAAATTTTATATATATTTTTCTGCTTCTGCCGATAGGATCAATTTAATAAAATGCGCATCAGGAATTGGACCGTAAACTGAACATTATATTATAGTTGGCATTAAAAATAAGACAGACAGATCTCTAGGAAATTAAATTATTTATTAGCGGAGTGTTCCCGATTTTCCACTTCCACTTCCTAGAGACGCCCACGCTCACGCAAAATATTGACTCCCCGAACTGTTTGGATCATTAATCAAATAGCCGGGTGCACTTATAACTTATAACCAATTCCAATCATCGAGTTTATGAATGTTGTTTTATTAGAACCGTTTCCGTTTTGCATATTGATTGCCTCACACACTTGTCTAAAAAACAGCCACGAGGCAGGCGATTCTACGAGTGTGTGGATAGCTTTTCCCATTCCGGGGACTATCGGGGAGCCCCGCCGACCGACCGACCCACCCATGTGATACGCATTTGGTTCCGTCTTTGGTCTTGTTTCGGGGCACTTGTAATTTGTTTATATATATTTGCCGTTTCCTAAGCTGTTCACAATTTGCGGAACACAAAGTTGACGATTGATTGGGTTTGATTGAGCGAATAGTTGCGAGGGAGACAGTTGATCTCGGGCGGTGAGTTCCGAACTGGTTTCACTAAACAAAGGCGGCGCGAAACGGATCGACTTCCGCCATGGTAAGATACTTTTGTTTTTGTTTGGCACTACAGTAAATAATTATCGAGACTCGCGAAAACCACAGCCCCAGCCGGCAGAACACTTTAATTGTTGACCGGCCTGAGAGCTTAAAAGATACAGATACTTACAGGTAGAGATACATGTTCTGGGCTCTCACGGGGGGGACGTCCAAGCCAGCATTCTTTTTGCGGCCTGCACAGGTTCTCACACAAATCGGCTCAAGTGTCACGGTTATGGATTATGTCATTTCATGTCGCCATGTCGGCCAGGCAATGTCCGCTCTCCAGTTACCAATAATCCCCCAGTAGCCCCCCATCATCACTTTTGACACTAGTGTCCCCCCAATACCTCCCTATCAGGTCGTTTGTCAGTCTGTCGTCAGCGGCTTTTGAGTATCATGAGTTCTAGCCGGATTTATATCGCCATTTATTCACAAATTTATTAATACTCTCGACCATAGAACAGGTGTTGTTGGAAGTTTGAGACTTTTTACTCAAAAGTCATACAATGTAATCGGATTTATTTAAAAGTCTGGAAATAATACTTAGAAGTCACTGATTAAATAATATTTAAATATAAAATGGCTCATTTCAAAGTATTAAACATTAATCATCATTAGTAATTTTTTTGCCATCTTTCAAATTCAAAAAGTCTCTACAGTTCTGAAGTGTATCGTATTCTCTTGGGTATACGAATCTGGAATTTTTGTGGTAAAAACTTCCTACGTGTTTTGAATACCAAAGAACCTGGCCTTTGTTCTAAGCATTCCAGATGATTATAAGATTATTGTGTCATCGAACGGAGAGCTTCGTTCATATTTGTTTGCAAACAAAATGATTTCCCTTCGATATTCCAAGGGTGTTTGTTATTAATTGTGTGGCCCCACCGCACCCACAGATACAGGTGCTGTGTCTGTAACCCAAAAACGAATCTCAAATTTCGGAGAACGCTATCTGGAGACGAATTTTCGGGAATTGTGTTACCATTTTATCTTCCAGATAAAATATGCAACTTAATTGGTAAAAGGAAAGAGATACCTTGTTTATGAGTAGTAGTAGTCTGGTTGGGAATATGGGAATATAATCCAGTTTTGCGGTTGAAATTCCTGTATCAGTTGCAAGTCTGATGAATGAGAATGAAATGAGACTTCTCAGTGGAGCCCTCCTTTTATCACTAAATACCCTTAAAGGAGTGTCGTTAATGAACTAAAGAAATAAACAAATAGGGCGGCTTTGCCAAGAATCCACTCGACTCGAATCGACGACCAACGGGCACCTGATCCAATCACCCCACCCATATTTCCCCCAGCTTAGATTATACTTTTTTTCATCGCAGAAAGGAACACTCCCACGTTCACGCCCACGCCCACTTTATGGACCCCACCTAACGCATTAGGTGTGCAAGCCAGGCCGAGTGTAAACTGGTTGGTTAGGTGATTGAATGGACAGGCAGCAGGCAGGCAGGAATTCGCCAGTGAGCAAACACGCTGTATCTGAGGTCTATTAATAAAGCCAAAGCCAAAGTCGCAGCCGTCGTCTTGTTATGCGAAACTGGGCCTAAACAAACCGGCGCCGAGCTGCTGATGCAATTGTGGCCGCTGTCTGGGTGGCTATTTGGTTGGTTGCCGGTGTCAGTGATTCCGAAAAGGAAATGCAACCGACTGGATAAACAGAACTGTATGTTACAGATATGTAAACTCGAGTAATTCGCAGAACAAACGCCAATTGAGAGGCAGGCATGTTGTTTTACGCGCGAATGTGGCTGAGACACTGCCGCCGACCACTTGACACTTTTGCTAATGACAACGCCCGCTAAAACGGTAGCCGGCACATGTAGATACATTTGTATCTTGCGCCTGCACTCTTCCCGTCTCCCTTGCACACGCACAAAGGCATCGGCTTGGCACGGTTCAACGACACTGTGGCCGACCAGTTTTGTTTTCAGATCGAAAAGATCATGGGGCTCACAATCACAATCGGTTGTAATAGGGAAACCGAGTCGAACAGTTCACCAATTAATTATTCCAATTTTGTGATTTATGGTCGTCAATTGGCGACAGGTGACAACCCTAGGAGTACTACTTACTGGATGGTGGGCGACAAATGGCTTGGAATTTCGTTGTGTTTGCTCCCGGGTGTCGCACATGATATCGAAATTTATGAATTTAAGACGATTATTAGCAAATTGTTTGTTCAACCGGTTTGCCATGCCTTATGGCAGGGGGTGGAGGGAGGAGCCAGCCTTATAAACAATTGGCAGCTGCTTACGCAGATTATAGGGGGGCAGCAGCGTCAGATGAAAGCCATAAAATGTTAAATTAAATGTCTCTCTCAGTTGGAATATTTTCAAATTAGATTTCCCTTTCATCTGGGGCAGCCACGCCCCCTCTCCCCTTACCGCCCACCCGGTCAACTGTTTAGGGCATTAATGTAGCAAATTACTTCAACACAACGTCAGACATATCGTTTACATGCCAGGCACACGCGATGTATCCGCCAATTGTCGTGTATAGATACATTTGTATCTCTTGGCCTGCGCTCTCTGCGGTGCGGCCTGGCCCATTGTTGTGCCGTCTGAGTGGGTTTATTTATATCGTGTTGCGCTTGTTTCTGCTTCTGTGTCTGTTGCATGTTGTCTCCTCTGCTTGTTCGCATTTTCAATTCATTTGGCCCCATAACGTGCTGACGGTGTGTGTGTATCTGCGAGATACATTTGCAGTAAACCAGAAAACGAAAGTGCAATTTTGCGTGTTTGATCTCCGGGCGAATGCAGTTCGTTTTGGGCGTGTGCTCGCCGCAATCAATAATCCCATATTATCAAGGCCATATTTCTTGGATTTCCCTCAATCGTAAAACTAAATCTCCCAGATTAGCCGGCCAAGTGGGCCCATAAATCAATTCCACCGGACAGTTTAACCATTCCGATTGGCAGAGTGGCTGGCCAAAGTTTATTTCGCCAATTCCGATTCCCTGGCGCTGGTAACTTCCTGCTCTGGTGCTGGGATGATGCTCTGTGGCTTGTTTTGTTTGCCATTTGCCAGCAATCATACACTATGGAAAGTTTTTACACTCTCGAGCCCATTGAAGTTTATCAGCATTTCCATTGGACCTTGCCATGCACAGCAAATTGCAGCTGCAGGCACCAGATCGCCGGATCGCCAGACCCCGGAGCCCCATGTGACCTCGTCGTCATCAGCATCATAATACTTTATGGGCGCTCGTTTGGCGCTTCTCCATACGAGTCACGGATAACCGATCCGATCCAGTCCGAAGACCTATTTATAACTCGCGGCTCTCGTGCCACTGGCTGCGCTGACCTTATCAGCCCTTATCACGTGCTGTAGTTTTCCGTTCTCGTGGAAAATTTTATGCCTCCCAGATTGCAGTCTATTTTCTAGGCCCACCACACCCATTGAAGCATCTTCAGCAATTAACAAGAACAAATTGATTTATTTACATTCTCTGCAACCAATAGATTCAATGAAAACATGTTTTCAAAAAACTATAAAGAGTTTTCTTTCTTTGTAATTTGGATCGCAATTGAATCCCGATTCATGACCAGCTTACTCGCCCAACTTGCCCTGACATTGACACAGTAAGTCTCTGAATTCGGACTTTGGCTATGGGGGCTTTTATCTATTTATTTATTTATGCGCGTATTGCACAATTGATCAGGCCACCGCCAAATAAAAGACTCTTCAATGGGTTATTAATATGGGCAATAAATTATGGCCAGATCCCACCTTCGCGCTCAACTGGAGTCCGTGTAAAAAAGCCAAGACCTAGACCCAGACCTAGACCCGTGACTTATGTACGTGCCGCCTGGCCATCAAGCGTGAACTCCATTTGATTCCATTCCAATCCCCAATCCGCAATCCCCTCAAGCCGGCACTCGATTCACTTTGGATGCGAGTTGGGTTTACGCGGTGTAAGCGCCTTGAGCTCGACCGGTTGTGGTCGGTTTCTCACTCAGTTTCGAGTTCCAGCTGCTCACTTATCGAGCGGACAAGGTTGGCTTTTTTCCATTATATAGCCGTATTCAAATGGCACTCTTCCTATATGCTCGGCCCGATAAGGCGTCGCCTACTTACGGCCTCCCCGTTTCGAGTGTTTGTGCACAAACTCTACAAAACTGAAATCTGCAAGTTGCTCCTCCATAGATAATGCCAGGGACACATGCAGCCAGGTGTGTGGAAGTGGCCCATTTAAGTGATCTAATAATCTGGGATCCGGTATACTTCACTCTCTGTCCACTAGTTACGTGTATTATAGGTTTATCTGGCCAAAGCATTAGGCTTTACATCAAGAGCTTTTTGAATAAAATTTATAGATAATTCCCAACAGGTTTCAAGAAGGTGTTTCCTGTAGAAAACTCTATCTTAATGGAAAACCTAAAATACCTAATAGCCCGAACTCATTAGAAGATCATGTCTGAGAGAACCCAACCCAATTCCCAGTCTAATCGTTTCTCGCGTGGGGTCTAATGACCCATTCCAATTAGTCGCCCCCTATCCGATGGCAACATTAACTATAATTTGACCGGAGCCGGGGGGACTGGGTGAGAATTGAATGGATACACAGGCACACACGACTCGATCTGGCGTTAAATTGTAACGTCTGGTAGTCAGTTTACAAAAACATATGCGAATCGGCCCGCCCCTAAAATTGCTGTCAGCCGATTCTATTGTTCCAGCCAGAATCGTGTGATAGCGACAGTTGCTGTCGAGTTGTAAGCCAAGTCGAGCTAAAAGTTTAAGCACTTTCGATTTCGCGGCCAAGTGGCGTATCTTGGAGCCCCCGAAACGGGGTGCCTCCCGCCCAGAGATTCTACTCCGTCATCGTCGTCATCATCGCAGTTTGTTGTTCATTGAGTTTCTGTGCCGGTTTCTGTAATAACCGATGCTGCTGTATAGGCTGGTTGTTTTGTTGTCGTAGGTTGTTGCCCATTGTTATTGGGCCATGATGTCATGAAGTTTTTCAGTTAATTTACATTATTAACTGCTTTTGTTGTTTGCTGCCAACTCGGTTCGGCTTCGGGCAATGAAGTGGCTAAGTGCGGATATTATTTAGAGCCAAGAGGTTTAAAAGTGAGAGGGTTTTTGACTTTACTATGAAGTCTGAGGCGGTTATTAATAGGTTTTGGCCATAAAGGGGCTTAGTTGTGGCTCGTAGCTTAGAGAACTTGTAGGGTCCAATAAACTTCATTCATAATTAATCTATTTGGTGATATTCCAGGGATATTACTAGACGTAATACAGTACTACTTAGTGTTACATGTATCATTGTCAATGATTTCCGGTTTATCCCTTGAATTAGTTAATATATCAACAAATCTGATTACTCAATTGGTGATCCAATATGTGAATATTCATTAATTGGCAGCAGTTCGATTTTGTTGGCGATAATATCTCCAGTGACTTCGTCTCTAACGTCTCCCTGGGCATTGGGTGCAACTCATTCCCCTAATGATCCCAGCCCTGATCTCCCCCTTTGGGAAATCCAGCCCCTTTAATGATGGATAGTGCTTTGTACTCGAACCCGATGCACTCAGATATTCCATTGCGATACCGCGATACTGGGTGCTGAATTATTTGTTGTTTTTTTTTTGTTTTTGTTTTATTTTTGTTGTGTCGCAACGACAACGTTCCGCTCGACCGACAACGGCCTGCTAATTACCACGCTAATGCCGGTTCAATGGAGTTCATTGAAAGTAAAAGTTTTGCAACCGCACAGAAAGAGAGAGAGAGGAATAGGGCGGAGAGAGAGAGATGGGGAGAATATAGGAGGTGGGGGGCAGCAATTGGAGCGCAGCAATTAACAAAGCTCTGGGCATTTTTGGACGATAATTAATCGGATGGAATATTTACAGCACAAAACGATTAACGGTAACGGTAACGGTAAGCCACGTACAACAAACCGCCTATATCAAAGAAGTGCACTGAACCGAAAATCGAGAATAAAGAACCGATCCCCAAAATGAGCATCATCGACAGCGGCAAGTACCGGCTGCGCAAGGATTGGGCCAGCGCCTCCATACCGTCATTGGTCAATATCGACGAGCACGACGGCGACTGCGGGGACACCGAATCCAGTATGAATGTTACCGCGCCCCTGCCGCCACAGAAGCCCCCGCGACGCAGCTCCCTGGCTCTGGGACTCTTCTCCAGCAAATCCTCGGACAAGAGCCAGAAACGCCGCAGCTCCATAGCCGTGTCCTTCCTGCGGCGCGATAGTAATAAGGTGAGTCTTATCCTATCCTTTTTCTATAAATTTAGCTCCATGGAAAACATATATATGTATCTATAGTAGGATCTATTAAATAAAGTATTTAACTTTAGATTTTAACTAGGCTTTAAATGTCAGAAGCTTGTAATGATCTCCAAAAGACTATCAAGTTAAATTAATATTATTACCAAGAAGTCGTTAAAAAGATCTATAAATTATCTTTACAGTTGGAGCTTAACCCTAAAGTAGGGACTTAGATTAGGCTTTATTTTAAAAAATGAATTACAACTTAAACACTTCATTATTTAAATGATTTAAAGAAGAAGTTTTAGAATGACATTTTAAACAAACATATATTTTTTCCAAGGAATAATTTGAGGGTTTAGGCCATAAAATGTAACTTGTTTTATAATAATATGTATTAAACTATCTCCTTTCCTTCCTTGTTATCCTTACAGAACTCCACCAAAGACTCATATGAATCCGCTGTCCGTAGCGAAAAGTCCGATGGCTCTGGAACTCCCACCAGCCCGGAAATAGTATACAGCTCTGAGGAGAATATCCGGGCCAGCTCCCCGAATGAGCCCGGCAAACAGACATACTTTGAAGACGGCAGTCAGTCGCCCAGACCTGTGCTCCAAGGACTTAACTCCTATGAGGGTCCAACCAACGACCGACAGCGTCGCAGACGCAGCTCGCTGCAGACCAAGCTGGACAGGCACCGACGCAAGAAGATGGAGTACGTCAACCAGAGGAGCCTCGACTCCGGAATGCTGTGCAGCGAATCGCAGAGCGACTTGACCAATGACAGTATGGTGGAGCGGTCCAATAGCTATGCGAATGGAAACGACGATGACGACGACATCACCGATCCCAGCCACGGGGAGTACTTTCCGCGCGAGAAGCGCCACTCCTGGTGGAACATATTCGTGCCCGATAATTTCAAGAACAGGTTCGTTGCCGGCCAAACGGATACTCCATCACCATATATCCGCCAGCTGCCGTATCTTATGAATACAAACATATAACTCTGCGTGTCTGCGTGTTTAACAAGCGCCTTGCCAAGTGACTAAAATGCATCGATTGCGTAAGAGATCCTTTGTGCCCAACCTCACCCATCATCCTTTGCTCCCTCAGCTCCCCGAACCCCCTGCGAATGTTGAACTAACACCCGTCAAAGATGTGATTAATTGCCGGCATGCAGCACTCCCACACTCTCAGATACACACACTTTCAGATACATTTCGAACCGTTTGCGTTTCCGGCTCCCTTGAGCTTAATTTATACGGTGCGTCTCGAGACATTTTCTCTGCTGGTTTATTACCAATCGACTGACTGCCAATTAAGCATAACGATTCACGCACTCGCCAAAAATCATTCATCAGGCCCGACCTCTGATTGGTTTTCGATTTCCATCTAACTAGAACATGCTTCATTTTTGATTAAAGGCTTTTGAATGGAGAATGAAGCAGAGAAACAAACAATGTTTAATCTAATCCACATAGTTTAGAAGGGAAACTACAATTTAAAAACAATCTGTACTGTCAGGTGTATAACCTGTTCTTAAAGGTATGTTGGAATATAAAAACTATTTAAAAACTATCAATTAGACCCTCATTTAGATTCATTAAGCAAGATAACCCCTTCAACTGCAAAACAGTAGTCTCAAGCCTTGTGTTTTTAGTTGATTGGCAAAGAAATAAAATAACTGCCGAGTGCCAAAAATGTTGATCCTCCCACCTGCCATTATTGCGAAAAAGACCTTCGTCGTGTGGGAGCTCGGGGTTCATTCACTACTGACCCCGACCTGGGAATCTGGTCAAGTCATTGCCTCAGACGCCCAGCTGCGGAGTTGCGGATCTTGGATCTGTTTCAGCCTTCGGGCCCACCTCTCTGGCCATTAGCCAGCTGGCTGGCTGTCAGGCGAGGCGGAATAAGCCTCATTATGCTGCTGGCCACAATAATAATAATTATTTCTTAATGCCCGCACAAATCTTAGCCCCCGGCCAAGGCAATTATCGTCAGACTCTCTCCAAAGGAAAGTCTGTCAAAATTCAGCTGATTATCGGACCTTTATGCTCCTGAATAATACATATGTCTCGGTTTATAAATATTGCTAACTGATATCGATATTTTTGGTATAATTGTGCTTCCTCAAAAAAAATAAACAAGGAATTTTTTGTTTGTTCTCGTCATATAATATCTTACTTTTAATTACCAGCATTTTGTTTTGTTTTTTTTTCTTTCTCTTGTCACACTTTACTCGTGTGTTTTTTGTATTTTGTGTCTTGCTTCGCATTTTAATTATTCTTGATTATTTGTGATTGTTTTGTTGTTGCTTTTCTTTAATTTAAAACGAGAAACAATGAAAATTATCGACTGAAAGGCTTTATAAACAAAAACCCTTGTGGGTGAAAACATATTATATATTGATGAGCAAATAATCCAAGGCTGGCGCTTTTCATTAATTGTCCGAGCTTAGTTATTAAACATTTTTTCCTTTCTCAAATAAACATATTGACCTATGAAATCCAGATATGTAAATTATTAATTGATAACTTCCAGTCCATAAAGGTCTCTTATGGGCTTTTTATGTAAGAGGTACGGGAACAATTCCCAATGTCAATTAAACTTGTAAAAAGTTAATAGAGCGCACAATATCGCGAATTGTCCAACTGAATGTAAACAAAGGCAATAAAAATAATTGGCCATATATAGGCTATATCGTTCCTTTTTACCACGCCAGTCGGTTCGTTCAAGTAGCTCAATTTTTCAACTGTTCGAACAGCACGTTTTTATGGCACGCGATATAAATATGATTGATATAAAGTCAGAAGATTATTGGATATATCTGAATTAATGTTGAGTTCAAGCTTTAAGAAGTATGGTGTATTTTTTCCCATCCAAAAAATCCAGCTAAGCCCCCACAAGTCTGCCACTTAAGATTGTTAATTGAGCTCGGTTAGAAACGAAACCAAACAACCTCCAGTCTCCACTCACGTGCCTATTTGCTCACTCCCCCTCTATGGCTTTGGGATTCCAATTTAGCTTCTGTTTCTATCTGCTATCCAACTTTGTTGTCATATATCATCAGTCACCCAATCAGCCAGTCAGTCAGTCAGTCGGTCATTCAGTCAGTTAGTTGAGGTCTTGAGCCAATGGATAATGCCCACACAGTAGTTAGCTAAATACCACAACGAGTTGGGTAAATATTTGAGCAGCTTATATGCATGTGCGCGACTGTATGCAAATGTCATAAATTGTCAGAGGTTCTGACTCTGTCTATAGAGTTCAGTGTGTTGCCTAAGCACTCGAGCAAATTCTCAGATAGATAGATGGAAGGAACACCCTGACTCAGTTTGCGAATTTTATCAAAGACCTATTATCTCTAAGATCCCATCATAATTCGTGTATTCCATTCTGAATCATTAGGCTAAATGAGAACCCCCCCATAGAGGGATCAAAGAGCTAAAGTGACTCACCTATGTGGTGTGAGTACAGCGATCCAAGTTCGAATCGATCGAACCCACACTCGAAAATGTCTGCGTATCTGATGGGAAAGAAGAAAACACACATCTCGGTTAGTGCCGAGTATTCCTTTTGAGTTCCTAGCCACTTGAGCTTATCAAATTAGCACACAAAAATGGACAACAATTCTTTCCGTACAATATACTTAACTTTTTTTTTACTCGTAACGCTCCTTGAGGGCGGTTGGGCATAGTTTAGTGGGGGAAACACAAACAATAAATATATACTGTATAGCAAACGAAAATAAGGCAACAAAAGTTTGTGACAGGTACTCGACGAATGCGTATACTTTATAATATTGTTTATAATCGGGCGATTTATGGGCGCCAGTGGTGAGGGACTGACCAAAGACCCCATTTGGGTTCCACTGGCCTGACATTTCGGTATCAAAATCTATCTCTGTTTATGATCGGCCACTCCATATAACCCGAATAGAGCCGTATTTCACTTCTAGACCTGCCTCCCCATAAAGCTCTATATATATTCTTACTTATTTGTTTATAATTTGTAATGTCTTGTTTTTGCCTCTCACTAAACGAGTATTGAGTGAAATTAATTACCCCAGCCCGGACTTGACAAATTCTTCGAGATAATTAATGCTTCGACTAGGTAATACATTTAAATTTGAATGTGACTTTCAGGTGGTAGGACAGGTCACTAACGATCAGGTGTGATGTGATGATTGATCAGGAAGGAATTGGCTGGAAACCAGATATGTAGTTATGTAAATAGAAGAAATTGGTTAGAAAGTGTTACATATTTGTTTTTCAAATGTTTCCTGCTACCTTTTCTGACTTTGTGAAATGAAGTTCCCTTCACACTTTTTATTTGTTTAGCAAATTTAGTGAGCTTGCTTAATTACTTGAGCAAATATGATAAGATTCCAGGGGAGACGTAACTTAATTGTACGCGTAACTGAAAGTTAGGTTGGATATATACGGATCTGGGAGAACTTGGGTTCCACAACACTCCGGAGACCGGATCAAGACTGTGGATCGGTTGAGCCCGGCTGATTACGTGCCAGAGCGCACAAAGTCCAGAGAGACCTTTTATTGTACCCGGCTGGCTGCTGATTTGATAAATGTACTATATTAATGCCACTCTGGCACGCACTCTGCCTGGGGCCAGTCTACATATGTGTGTACATATGTATGTATATCCCTGATGATAACAATGACATCCACCAGTCATCCATCCATGGGATAACTTTTATTTTTCCTCTGTCTGTCAGTTGCGAATGAAACTGACGCGTAGCGAGACATTTGATCCGCGATCTCCATCGAATCGAATTTCAAATATCCCGAGTCCGGCGAAAAAATTGTGATTTTATGCAAATGCAAAGTGCCGAAGTGCTCAACTCGATTCTCAGTGTGTGCCCAGTCAATTATATTTCATAATTTATCTGAAATACAAATTACTTGTGAATTTATTACGAAATGTGCAAAGCAATTAGGGCTTTATGGCATTAAATATATTCATTACAGTAAACGAAACTCTTTAAAACCAATTAAATGCAATTTTTGAAACACCAAGCCATGACATTGAGTAAATTCCTATCAGTCATCAGTCACATTTCACTCTGTTCTCTGTCGATTGGAGAAATTCGTTTGATATCCAAATTAATTTCGCATTCGCATTCGCCACAATTAGAAGTCTTGCTTTGTTCTTTTGTTTATTTAGAGTGTGTTTTTTTCCCAGACCCAGTGTGATAAGGTGTTCTTATCTTAATTTACGTAAAGCAAGTTTCAATTTAAATGAAAGATAACAGTTTCTCATCGCTGCTGTTGCTGCGTCAGTTTGTGTAAATATTTTGAATTTTGGCCAAAAACTGGTTATTGAAATACAGCCGCTGCCACTGCCACTGTCAGTGCCTTTGCCTTTCTTTTGTTTTTTGTTTTTTATTTGGCTTGTGGAATTTACTAAAGTGAAGGTCAATAGGAAAAATACACCCCAATATTTTTGGCCAAGCTCTGAAGGGGCTCGTCTGTCCGGATCTAGCGGATTCTTGGGCCAGGTGTTTGGCCAGGCCGCCCCTAGGAATTATCTCAATCAGCCGCTAATGAAGTCAGGCTGGCAACTTCCCACAGATCGGGCTTAGAGACTCACGCACTCACACCAAAAATTATAGCCCCCTTGCTAAATGCCTGCCAAACACCCCACACAACCCAACTAGATTTTTATGAATACCAATCAGGTGGCAAGAAAAAATAAGCAATAAAATATCAAACGAGTTGGTGATGTTTTCATTTACAACTGCCGCCGGCGCCGAGAAATTAAAGGCAACTGACCACAATCAGTCGTGCTCACACCCGGCAGGCATTACAAAAAATAATATAAAATGCAATTAATTGTTTCAATTAAGGCCAGTCCAAAAAATGTTGGCCGACAATATAAATGTGCGACGATTATTTGCGGATTTGCGAATCTGCGAATGACTAAGAAGGCTGTCCGGCCAATTTAAATATTTACAAAATACTTTCATAAACAAATATACCCACAAATAAGATAATACGTTGATAGCAGCAGTAGCCCCACTGCCGTTGACTTTCTTCGGGCTCCGGTGCGGGTGAAGGCCAACCTTAACCCAAATTTTTTGTTTGTGTGGTGCCGAGGAGGATTAATTTCAAGTGCAGATTGAATAAGCCATGGCCTTGCATGGGGTTCATGAGTGATCATATTTCTGAGCTTGTGGGAATCAATTGAGTGGCAAAAAGATGGCAAAATCGTGGCCTCATCCCTGAAGACAAAATTCAATGATAGAACATTTAATGCCCAACCTCACGTGCTTGCACAAAAATGGCACACTAAGCAGCCAAAATGTGTCCGAAAATCCAATTAACCTTTTTCTTGGTCGTTAACTTGGTAGCAGCGGACGAGAAAAAGCAAACAGCATTCCCTGCGTTTTATTTGAGTCAGTTTTTTTTAGCTAACCGAAAGCCAGGCCAAATAGAGATAACAATGCGGCATAAAAATTCTAATTATGAAGTGGAGAGAAGGCACTACCTTAGGGGGGAGTTTAAACACGATTATCAGTGGGCGGCCAGCTCAGGCACATGCCCTGGCCCGAAAGCTAAATAAAGTTATATCAAAATCAGTAAAAATAAATGAATACGGAAAAACACGTGACAGTGGGAGACAACTGCTGCAGTTTGCTGCCTGTTGTGTTCGGTTTGTTTGTATTTATTTCGCTTCCCAGCTGATAAGGCCCGACTTTGGCCGTCTTTTATTTGTATTTCCCAGCTCGCCTGGCTCCTCCGACAAGCCAATTAATTTTGTCATCAATATTTTCCACAAACTACAGCTATGACAGCAAAATTGAATCATTAAAAGTCAACAGAGTGTCAAATAAATTTATCTTTTGCTTGTTTTAGTTTCATTCCATTCATTTTCCCCGCTCTCTCATCTGTCACCTCTGTGGGCTAACACGGCGTATGATTGATCGACTGAGGAATCGTTATCCGATATACGGCCTAAACTAAACTATGCATTATGGCGAAAATTGCATTCAGCTTAAATTTTAATTGGTTTCTTGTGTTTAGGTTAACTAAGTAATGAAAAGATTCTCTATAAAAGGTTTTAAAATAAATACACCATGCAGAACGTGTTAATTACTTCTCACTATTACTGGTAAGAAACAATCATTTAGGTAACCTGCTGCTAAGCAATATCTGGTAGAATTTCTATTTTATTCCCATCCGTATCTTTATGATCGTCGTAATGTATTTTCGATAAGATGCCGAACGTTTTTGTCAGCCGACTTGGGAAGTACTTTTTGGCTAACACTCTTGAGATCATGGATAAGATATGAGTCAAGAAACAAACTTGTGTGTAATATGAGTAAGAATATACATATTATGATAAATCTTACTTCCTCGATTAAAACGATTCTTTTGTGTTTGAATCCAACTTCCGGGTGACTGGAAGCCGAAGAGCGTTTTAATTCAAACCATCCAAAACATGATCTTAAGCACGTACGCATAATACCTCCTATTCCCTCTTTCCTCGTAATGGATTTCCTTTGTTTGCCCACCGGGGCTTGCCTTTCGGCGTTTTGGGTCAATGTTAAGCGAAAACATCCAAACTTTTAATGTAAATAAAAACAAACAAACACCAAGGGGACTTTCATTGGACAGTATACCAAAGATCTGACTACTTTGAGTAAAATAATGGCCTGACGATTAGTTCGTTTGCATAAATTCAAAGTAAAAATTTAATTTTGAATTATCTCATTCAATTAATTCCCATAAATTTTTTCAACACCTATTGAATTAAATGATGGTGTCATTTAGGCAATCGTGTATGATTGCCCCAAATTAAGATAAACTGTCTGTGCCAAATGATTTCGACCATGGACTATTTCGCTGAAATTGCGGGAGTTTTGTTTGTGTTTAACCTTGGGTTCTGGCAATCTTAACAGAAAGAGTCGCCAAGTGCGGGATTTTTTCTTTTGCACTCATATCATATCGGTTAAATAAACTCTTTTCACCTCACCCTTGACAGCTGAAGTACGAATATTTCGGCAACCGATTTTAAACATGCTATTAGCAAGTGTTCAAGTGCTTTCCACAAAAATCAAAGGTCTTCCACACCGATACCATCGCCTGATTAGAAATAATGTTAATTTTTCAAGTACGCTTTTCAGACGAATTCTGCAAAGACCCTCAAGATGCTTAAAGAGAATTGTTTTGACAAAGAGTACCTTTTCCAAGTTTAGGAATATTTTTGAAAAATTCCATGTAATTTATAGATATACCCCGATCGGGACGTGACAATTCCCCAGAATTAGCGATATGTACTATATACAATCTCTCTTGTTTTTCGCACTTAAGGATAGCAAAGGGGTTGACCATTAGACGGGATGGGTTCCAGGGTTAGGAATTCCTCTTGCTACGTGTGCATTCTACAAAATTGGCGTTTGTTAAACCCGCTCGATCCGGACGATCCGGGCCAGATACATTTATTTCTCAGCATTTTGTCTGTATTTGAACATTTTTGTATTGCGTAATTTATATATTATATTTTTTATTTACTGTATGATTTTCTCCCTTTTTGCTTTTTTCGATTTACTATATTTTGTTTTGGCACAATTTGCTCATTTAATTGGTTTTGATCGCCTGCCCCGATGTGCTCCTTATGATTTGCGAACGTGCCAGGTCACGTAGGGCTAGTCAAGATGTTTCCAGTTTGTCACGCAGCGTTGACAATTTGGCGATACCAGTGCGCAGGTAAGTTGCAACTAACAATTCCACCTGCTCACAGAAACCCACTGCTCCACCACCCACACACCCACACCCACAACAATCAACACAACACTCTCGCGCACACACCAACACACACCAAATTCAAATGAGCCAGTGACATATCAAAGAAATGAATAAGCTCCAAACTGCACCTGCATGACTTATCTATCCCCTTAAGATATACATATAATATCCAATATCTATGTATTATTGTTGAATGTTGCATGGCCTGACTATTTGTAACTTAGATGCATGAACATGTATTTAACCATTTACATTCCTAGACCTAAGAAACTTTCAGCGAATTGTGATCTTAACCAGGAAAAGTAACTTTACAATTTATTAATAATATTTATAAATTATTTTTGTTCCGCGTAGTCAAAAATCGAATCAGCAAATAATGATAATTTATGAAAAGCCAGTCGGCAAATCGGAGGCAGATTATTTAAAGATAATCTTAATGTTAGCCGTTCGCAGATTAACAAAATTTGATAATTTATAAGTACTTGACAAGTATAAATAAAACGCAAAAATTTAATCGTTGTTTATAGATCATTCTGCCATTTAAACAATAAAATAAAATAATATATGGGAATGAATGAAAAAGATGATCCGTATAAAAACAATTAATGAGATTTGCAGATTTAAAAATGCTTGACCTACCTCAAGAAAAACACAGATCCAGAAATGAGTCACGGGAATATATACAATCGGTCTCTCATTATCAATTTCACAATTGCAATAATCGCCAATTAAGGGGTCACGCCACCCTGAAATTTTCAAAAAATCGTTTTTTTTTTTTTTACTTAATTTAAAAGACTATATTCTTACGCGTATTTTAAGACGTCCCCGAAGACAATATCTTAATAATTATAGAAGTTATGTTTATTTGAAGGCGGCACTGCAGGAGGGCACCTAAGACACTTCTTTTTCTTCTTTTGCGTTTTTCTCGAAACCACTTTTTTCAAGACGGTGGGCATGATAACTCAAAAACTGTTCAACCGATTGACTTGAAAATTGAAACACATCTTCTTACATAGATTTTCCACAGAGTGACGTAGGATTTTTTTGATCCAATGGATAGAAATTTTTTATGCAATTTTTAGTACGAAATTTTTGCCCAAAACATTGAGTCAAGTTTTGAAGTGCTCTCATTTGCGTAATTTTTCTTCTTTTCTAAAACGGCTACGTCACTCTGTTCGAAATTTATCACTTTTTAAAAAAAAATTTTGTTTACTTTTTTCTGATGAAAATTGACACGTGAATCATGCCCACCATCAAGGAGCACTCCGGAAAAACCCATGATCGCCGATGTTCATATCTCCGCCATTTTGAATTGAAAACAAATTTTTTTTTAGAATTTATAAAGCTCATTAGTTGTATTAAATAGAAATAAAAGGGGAAAAATCCTATCTCAACTAGTTTAGTCACAAGAAATTCCTGAAAAACCGTCCCGTTTCCACGCGGTCAGGGTGGCGTAACCCCTTAATGATGTTTTTGTGCGACGCACATTACGTATACGCACCGAGGCACTGAGTCATTGGCTTGAGTTCAACTTGGCCTGTCTGTAAGCCAAGTCATGGCAAAAATAAAATAAAAATATAAAGTGCACCTCTGGGAAATCGAATGGGGCTGAAAGCCCACCTGGGTTGTTGACATTTGGCTTCGGACTCGAATGGTGGAATTGTGTCAGCCAGACGGCTACCGTGTGGTTTCTGAGATCACAGCCCAGGGCCAAATAATCGAAGGTAAACAATGCACAAGAGCGATAAGATATATATGCTACTTGTAACCAAAAGTCAATTGAATTGAAAGCTGCATAAAATAACGAACTATTTATTCGATTCCCCCCGGCCAAATATGACACCTCGCATTCCACGTCTGTCCGGGCCTCATATTATTCCACTCGATCCACGCTTTATTAAATTAATGGGAATTACCCAAAACTCAACTATAAATTTAAAAGGCATTTTTTATAGACAGTGTGTCCAACTGGTTTATGCGGAAGCATGTTAAAAACTCAGTTTAACTATTGATTAGTTGCAGAGATTAGTTCTAGTGATTATAGGAAAATATTGGTGCAACGAAATGTACTCACACCATGAAAATCATTTCACATATTCAATTGAAAATTATTTTTCGAAGAAAAAAATTAAATACAAGTTCTTAGAAGTACTGTTTACTTAGCCTTCTCTTGTATGTTTATTTAGAAAATCACGTGAGACCTTAACACATTTTTGTTGGCTTGTTTCTGGCGACCTCCCGCCGTCAGCCTCCGAAGGAATGTTCGGCCTCCGAAAACAATATTCATGTCAAATACAATTATTTATGTTTACCTGAGGAACAAAAGCAAAATACTTTTCCATATTAAACGCAAAAAGCAACTGTGCAAATGAAATTCCATTGCCCGCTGTCTGAACTCAATTTAATTTATAAACTTAAGTAACTCTAGACATGGTCGCCTCAAATGTTGCCTGCCAACTTAAGGGGTTATATACCTTTTTTATTTTCAAAAAAACGAAAATTTTTTTAGTGGTTTATCTTGAAGAACCACTCCTTGAGAACATTCTCCCAAATTTTCATTGAGATTGGAGCAGTAGAAAAAAAGTTACAGCGCTCCTAAACGCGCGCCTTGTGGCGGCCTTGCACTGAACTTGAAACTTTAAACGCGAATATCTCGAAATGGTGTTTCTTGAAAAATGACTTTGCGGTGACATGGATTGGCGGAAAACTACTGAACCGATTTACTTCAAATTTTTTTTAAAATGTTCGTAATGAAATTCTCTTGTGCTTGAACGATCGACTTTTCACGCGCAAACTTTTTTTTCGGCGAAATAAATTTTTTAGTGAAATTTCTAGAGACCAAAACGTTCATTTTTAGCATAAAACGCTGCCATATCCAAACAAAAACAAAAAATTTTAAAATCGATCGTTCAAGCACAAGAGATTACTCTAAACTAATGAAATATTTTTACTTTTATGGTTTAAGTTGACCTGTTTGACCTGGGGAACTGTCACCGCAAGGCTCTAAAAAAAAAAAGGCCTCTAAGGGAAACAGCCACCCCTTAAAAACTATTTAATATTTTTCCACCAAATTTTGCACAAACATTGTTAATAAAGTGTACTATCAAAAAATTAAAACATCCGTGTAATTAAATAATTGCTACATACCTAAAAAAAAAATCCGAACTTTGCTCATTTTCTTCGACAAAGAAGGTATATAACCCCTTAAGATCAAACACAGTTGTTCGTTCGCATACAGAAATTGTTTTCGCAAAAGGGTTTCCACTCGCATAGCCCGGCCCGGGCCGGGACGAGAAAGGTTTTTTCAGCTGCGCAATTGGCAACGAATTAAAAGACTTTCCTACATTTCCATGGAAAATTGTCAATGCCAGGCGGCGGGCGGTAAACACAAGTAGGAATTAAAAGTAAAAAAAAACGGGGGAAAACAAATATCGAATGTGCGACAAATATGCGTTAAATAATTATTTATTTTTTATTGTTTATCTTAGAAACAAAACGCTTTGCATGCGCCTCCTGCTGCCAGCTGCAAATAATTATTTTAAACGCACACATATTTCTGAATATTTATTTTTTATCATTGGCATTCAATTATGGTTATCGCCGTTTGCTCGCTAATTGGCAGCCCAGCAAAAAGACACGCGCAAATAAAATTTTATTATTTTTAAATATTTTGATACCGCCTGGGGGAGAAGGGCTGAAACTTTATCAGAAGATGCCACAGTACACCCTTCTCTGAATATTGGCCATTGTAGTTTGTTATTTGATTTGATGTCATCGGTTTTGGGCTGAGGGAAACCTATTTTCCTGCCCAAAATCATAACGGAAATTAGTTTTCCTTCGAAAATAATAAGAAAAGTATCAAAGGCAGCAGATAGGGGAAATATTGCACAATAACATGAAAATAGAGAAGAGCTTTGTGGAATTTAAGAATATTTTGAATAGCTCTTAGAAAAGTTGGAAATATTTGGAAAAACCCAGAAATAACACTAAACCTAGTCAGATAGAAATAGTATTTACTGCTGATAATTCTTATATGCCAAGTTTGAGGCAGACTTCTGAATTTGGAATTAAAGTTATGGAGCTAGGAAGCACACGCGCCTCTCCCAAATCGCCACAACGCCCCGACTTCAGACTGGGGCCATAAAAATGCCGAACCAAACTAAACAAGAAACGAAAACGACAATATATTAACAATTCTAAAACTTGCAATGTACGACAAATGAATTTTAATTAAAATCGGATTGCCGCCAGTCGCCGATTTGGAGGCGTTGTCGTTGAACAATCAAAAGAATCTGGGTATCAAATTTGTATGCATTCGTCGAATCCATGGATCGCGGATGGATAGCCGACTGATCGATGACGCAGCATATAATTTTACATCGATGATGGATTCGCCTGGAATCGTAAATAAATACATAAAAAACTATCCATTCTAAACATTTGATTTAAATATTAAAAGGATTACACGAACCTCTGGAAAATCGCTGCAGAAGGAGGTGAATCCTGATGACTTCTGATTTTGTTGGAGCTGGAATTGTTGTTGTTTGAAAATTTCATAACGCTCTACCGGTGACATCTGGCGATAGGTGTCCGCCGAGTACCTGGCCACGGCAATGCCCACGCCCTCAATCAGAGCCAAGATAATACCACCCACTAAGGCACTGCTCATCATGGAGTACAAGCCTGTCCTGGCTGCCAGGACGCCTCCAGTAGCCGCTCCGCTTATAATCGAGTTCCATGGATCCTCCCTCTGACGGATAAATACCAGAGTGCAATCGATGGCGCTGAATGTGGCGCCCCACACCGCAAAGTTGCCACCCACGCGGGCCGATTTGGCCCTCACTGCAGCCACACTTCCGGCAATGCGGTGCCCGAAACCCGAGGGGGCGTTGCGAAATCCCTTGATGGCCTGGAAGACTCCTCCGCACACAGCGCCCATGGCGAAGGCTCCCCCGCAGTCCTCGATGACGCGAAAGGGACACGGTTCCCGGTTGTACTCCTCCATTTCGGAATTGATAATAAGTAGGAATGTCAGGTCGGAGCAATGATTTGATGACAGTCGGTTCTCGACTGCCCAGGGAATAGGTGACTCAAGGCCTTCCCTGACGAAATCTGTAGCCCACATTACACTCACAAGTCTATTAAATATTTTAAGGACAAGCTTTGTTAACAAATCGTGACTCTACATCTAATCATTTAAAGGCTAGAATCGAGAAACGTTTAGAAAAACATTTAAAATGCGTTGTTTTGCCATATATGGACACTTGCCGATTGTCAAGATAATCTTTACAAAACGATAGCAAATAGCAAATAGAAAACAAAAATGTTGAATAAAAAAGGTAAACGAGAAGCCAATAAATAAATTGTTATTACCCCGGTTATGGTCACAATTCGGTCTGGAAATTTGTAAGTGATAAGAATCGCAACAGATTGCGTTCCGATCGCTTCGAATCACCCAAACATAATATCCCAAACGATTCTATATCCATTTGTATCCGACATTTCAGGAGCAAATCGCGCAGCGTGGATCACGGCCTGGCGGCTCCATTTGACTTGGACTCGCTCCGCTCGAAAGTCGAGCAGCGCTTCGAGAGTGTTGACAAGCTGTCAAGTGAGTATTTCCCAGATGTAACAAAACCCATAAGTACCTTCCACTTGGCCAGCCACGCAGTTCTTCAAGAAACTTACTAGAACTGCAAAAAAAAAACACAAAATCTCATGTATCGTTTGAGTATTTTCATGGAATACAATATAAATTATTGAAAAAGTTAAAATTAATAACTTATAAATGAATATATAAATACTTAAAACGCTACATGCTCTAGAATTATTATTAAATGTCGCCATGAAACCTTTTAAATTGCGCCTTAAAAGACACGAAAAACAACAATAACTAAAACAACAATAGTTTAAAATAACCTTTTTTTTGTAAAAAAACATATTCTTTTTGTAAAATAAATTATAGATTGATATTGAAATCGAAATCAATCTACGTTTAAAATTTAAAAATTGTAACGTGAATTCGTAAAAAAAGCTTTCCAAAGCTTTCAAATGTAGAAAAGTCAAATTCCATGTAAAATGTCACTTTCAATGTTGGTTTCTATACTCTGCCAAAGGGTTTTATAATTATGGTCAAAAAAGTGCAACGCAGTGAAGGTGACATCTCCGATAAAGTATACCATATATATTCTTGATCAGGATCACCTCCGGAGTCCAAGTAAGCCGGACTTTCCGTCTGTTGTTCATACGCAAATATTAGATAGTTATTATATTTTACTAAAATAATTTTAGTAAGCTTGAATAGTTAATATTTAACCCAAAAAAATTAATTTGATTATAAAAATCGATTTTATAAATTTTTTTAAGTTTGTTAATGAAAATTGTTGCTTTTTCTCAGGATTGCGAAAGTGATTGAGTCATTCGGGGAAATGTTGGGGAAACATTGGGGTTACCTATAAATTTCTTGTTATCAGTGTTATTCCTATCAACCTGGATAGGGAACTTGATAAAAACAGTTGACTTGTGTTATTACTTTGCTTACAGCAGTAGCGTTTGGTTATTTGGCGAATCGGTTCAATCGGTTTAAGTTTGTTTAAGAAAATTGTAGCTTTTTCTCAGAATTTCGAAAGCAAGTCATTCGGGGAAATGTTGGGGAAACATTGGGGTTACCTATAAATTTCTTGTTATCAGTGTTATTCCTATCAACCTGGATAGGGAACTTGATAAAAACAGTTGACTAGTGTTATTACTTTGTTTACGGCAGTAGCGTTTGGTTATTTGGCGAATCGGTTCAATCGGTTTAAGTTTGTTTAAGAAAATTGTAGCTTTTTCTCAGAATTTCGAAAGTAAGTCATTCGGGGAAATGTTGGGGAAACATTGGGGTTACCTATAAATTTCTTGTTATCAGTGTTATTCCTATCAACCTGGATAGGGAACTTGATAAAAACAGTTGACTAGTGTTATTACTTTGCTTACGGCAGTAGCGTTTGGTTATTTGGCGAATCGGTTCAATCGGCGCTAGAATGTTAGCATTTTAAACTTCGCGCCGTCGTTAACAGATCTAGAGGAATGAATAGTGCAGCTGTTTAAGCTGACAGAGATGGGCAGCATTTAGAAAGATCTTAGCTGAACAGTGTTGTGGTCAAAATGCTGGAAGTGGTTCAGATTTACTGGCATCTGCCGACAAACGAATTCTCTGTTATCTACCTGTGCCGGCATCAGGCGCCGCCGTCAGGTGTGATCTATTCACACCTGCGCCCCGATAACGATTTGTTTGTCGTCTTCGAGCAGCAGCCGCGTCCCCCAGCATCGACACCGGTGGCTTTGGCAATTCCGAGTAACCAGAAGCGAACACGTGCTATTATTTGGATTATACTGATTTTGTATTCTTTATTTATTTTCGCAGGGCAAAAGTCTTCATTGCCCACCATACCCACCATTTCCTACACCGTGGGCAATCGCGACACCCTGACCTCAGTGGCAGCTAGATTCGACACCACGCCCTCGGAGCTGACACACCTGAACCGGCTGAACAGCTCCTTCATCTATCCGGGCCAGCAGCTGCTGGTGCCCGACAAGAGTGCCAAAGATGATGCATCCAGCAGCTGCACCAACGACCAGGATGGAGGCAGCCTCTCCGGCAAGTCGAGTCCGGTTGAGCGCAAATTGTCCGGCGACGAGAGCCGGGAGAAAGGTAAGCGACGTCGCCTCGCCTAGCGGGAAATGGTGCAATTGGTGCGACGATAGTGAAGCCTTGCCAGCATTCTCGCATTTTCAGTTGCATCTGCACATCCTGCTTATACTTTGCATGCAAGTAGTCCTAAAAAAGTATAACATTTGCTTACCATATTAATTATATTTTGCATAGCAATTTGTATAGTTTAATTAGAACCATCAGATAAGAACATTATAGGGGATTCACAGAAACTAAAATTTGTAAATCGAAAAATTCTCATGAAACAGTTTTTTAATCCTACACCTGGATCCTTTGAAGCCAAAATTTATTTATTTTTTATATAGAATTTTGTTTTTAATATATAAAATCATTTAAAATTAAATTGAAGTCTAAAATTAATTTAAAGTTTGCGCTTTGATGGGTAGCACTTTTTAGTGTGACCACCTCCTTCAAAGAACGTGATAGCTCGCCACCCCCTGCTTCGGTCACACTTGTTGGCCAATGTTTTTTTTAGGCTATTGAACGGTTTTGGTTGTTTTGCACTTGAAAACGAAAGATAATAATCAGCAGACACGTTGGAACAGTGGCGTAAAATCCACCAAGACGAAAGTGCAGCCGGGAGTACTTAAATTGCAGTATCAGCATGCACACCGCCGTCTTCTGGCGCAATGGAGGTAGCTTTCGGACATACACTTCCTGCTTTGTTTGCGTTCGGCTCCCATTGTTGTGGATTTGGTGGATATGTGCTAATTGCGGTTGACAGAACTCTGGCCTTGAATGGCCACCAACTGCTCCAGCGGCTGCTGCCGGGTTGCCGACCGTTTCGGTCACATTACCGCCCACTATCTCCTAGCGTCGAAAACGCAGTTCATCAAATTCGGTCGCCGAGGAGCTCGGCAAACAATGAAGGGGGTCACAAGGCCCAGATTTAGTTTAAACTATCCCATATATCAATTTTGCTTTCCCTATCTTATCGTTGCCACCGGGCAGGGTTGATAAAAATCACAGCACAGCCGCAACCACAGCCCACCGAAGCCCTCTGCAAGCCACTAGGCTTGGCACCTCGCATTATATTCTTATAACCATTAACTTATTAAATGCCACTTCTTGCAGACATCCTTGAGGGCCTGCGCCCTGGATCCCCCAAACCGGGCCACATCGAGCGCGTGGGCAGCAGCAGCCAGCAGCAAGCCGAGGAGGAGGCCAACAAGAGCGATGACCCGGTGATCACGCAGCGCTTCCTTAAGATTAATGTACGCCATATCACCGATGGCCAGGGAGTGGTGGGAGGTGTGCTCCTGGTGACGCCCAATGCCGTCATGTTCGATCCCAATGTCAGTGATCCGCTGGTCATCGAACATGGCCCAGAAAGCTATGGTGTTATCGCACCCATGGAGCTGGTGGTCAATGCAGCCATCTTTCACGACATTGCACACATGAGAGTGGCCGGTGGAGCGGGTCAGGGCTTGGCCTCCGGCAGCGGCGGGTCCGGCGATGCTGACAAGCCGGAAATCTACTACCCCAAACCAGTATTAGTCGAGGAGGACTCCAAGGAGTTGTCGGAGCAGGACGGCGAGGCCAACAAAGAGCGCTTGGAGGGTGAGTTTGGAAAACTTTATAAAAGTATTTATTTTTTCATGTACATTTTATTACTTTTAGCTGAAATTGGATCCCTGGAGATAGCCGACGACCAGGAGTCGCTCTGCTCCAGCACTGGACGCGATGGCGATGCCTTCCCCAAGGCCTTCGACCGCGAACGTGTGGACGTGAGTCACTCGATAGTCTCTTATCCAACATGCACTTATCGTTCTTATCTGTAGGACTCATCTACGGAAGCCAAAGATAGCGCTAAGACTGACGCTCAAGAGGATGAGGATAAGAAGGTCGGCCTGGGCATCACAGACACCCGCACCACATTGGAGGAGCGACGCAAGAGTCTGCTGGACCACCACTGGGCTATTCCGAGCAAAGACCGGTTAGTGTTTGCCCAGCTGCCCCATGTACTGTGTGAACAACTGATGAGCTCAGACCCCTTTTGTTTGTCGCTCCATTTTTAAACGTATTTTATATTTAGTTATCCGTTGCAAATAATTATCCGTTAAATTTTGACGGATTAACGGATTATCGACACCCATTTGCTTCTTAAAAGTCTATTTGTTTTCTTTCATTATGAGTTATTGCCCTCGTTAAGTTCCCAGCTGTTTACGATTGTTTTTTGTCCTAAAAAATGTATTTGTATATAGTATTTAACTTTCCGCTTCACTAGAAGATAAAATTAATTGAATTTTTTTGGAATATAAGGAGCTAAGTAATTAACTTTGATTAGGAATGAGATTCCTTAATCTGATAATGGAGATAGTAGAGCCTTATGCGCTGTACATATTCTTTGGCTGGCCAAAGACGACCTTTTATTTGCGTTAATAATTTTGTTTGTATTTTTGTGTTTTTATTTTCATATTTCGAACCACGCCACGCCAAACACCCTTACCATAACTGCAATCTGTGTTATATAAAACCAACCGCTTTATCCGAAACAAATAAACACCAAACCCATTCACACCCACAAACACAAAAACTACTCATCACCCCCACAAACCAAAAACCACTTGTACATAATTGTGTTCGTGACACACCCGAATGTTACTCAGCTATTGTTTGTCTAATTCCCGAAGATCATCGGAAGACGAGGGCGACAACGAGTCCAACATCACCGTGGACAGCGGATCGCGTGTCCAGGATCCCCACTCGGCCGCCAGCTCCGTCAGCGGAGTGCCGCTTAGCCAGCCGACTGCAGCCGGAGCCTCGGGAGCCGTCGCCCCGGCAGCTGCCGCCTCGGCCGTTGGCCCCCTACCCCCCTCAGCCGTCGATTTGGAGCATTTGGAACAGCTCTCGAAGCAGTCGTGCTACGACTCCGGCATCGACATCCGCGAACCCATTCCCAACGTGCAGCCTATACCAAAGAAAACTGTTTACAGTGACGCAGACATAGTCCTCAGCTCCGAATGGGTACCACCGAAGACCATTGTGCCGACGCACTTCAGCGAGTCCCCGCCGCGCAGCACCATCCTGGGCCAGAGCCTGGACGCCGGCACCGCCGGAGGGGCACGCAAAAAGACATCCAGTGTCAGCTTCAGCGTAGATGACGAGGCTGCCCAGCAGGCTCAGGCCCAAGCGGCTGCAGCGGCGGTCACCGACAAGCAGGCGGACAAGAAAAACAAGGTAGATCTCACAGATGACTTGTGATTCCGTAAATTGGAAACTAATTCTTTGTTTCTATTCCTCCGAAGATGCTGAAACGTCTCTCGTATCCCCTGACCTGGGTGGAGGGTCTGACCGGCGAGGGCGGAGCTGTGCCGCCCGCGGGGCTGGGCAGTGGCAGCCTAAACAAGTCGGCGGACACGGACTCAGCGCCCAACACTGGTGACTCCAACCAGAGTGTCTTTTCGAAAGTATTCTCGAGGTGAGTTAGTAAAGCCAACGAGCTATCTCTGAATATAATTGGTGCCAACAAAAAATTTGTTTATTTCGTTTCGAAAACCGAACAAAAAATATGAATCAAATGCTTACCTTCGTTTTGTGCGGATCGGCTGCTTTGCTAAACATACATACTCCACTTTTTCCCGCTCATATCTCGAACACTCCACAATTATACGATACACACACTGCACAACACAACTCATCACACGACATCCCTATATCTAACACAATATCTTAATATAACACACTGTACACCCACTAGCTCGCCCATCACTCTGGTTTCAGAGCTGGGCGGGAATCTATTTTCGAAAACACCGTCCGAGGACTCTGGTGGCTCACCTGTGCCGCCATTGACTCCGCACTCCACTCATTCCGAGGGTCACATGACCTATGGGTAAGGACGGATCTATCCGGATCTTGATGTGTTCCACCATTCGTTGACGTTGACGTTGTTGTTGCTCTTGTTGTTGTTGCTAGTGTTGTTGATGTTGTAGAGTTGAAAAGCAAAGAAGAACTTAAAGCCACATTCTCTCATGAGCACATCTCTCATTTTTTGGTTTCCGCGATTATCCCATCAACCGCATTCTTGAGTTCTGAGTGTAAATTGTCATCACCGTGTTTCAGTCCTTATCCGGAGCAGTTAATACATTGATTTCATACCTCCCCAGGCGTTCCTCAATCGGTACCTTTATACGGCCGCACTCGTCGGAGGGCACATCGTCCAGCACCAAACTGAAGGAGGCCAAGCAGGCGCCGAAGCTGGACTACCGCTCCATGGTCTCCATGGACGACAAGCCGGAACTCTTTATCAGCGTGGACAGTAAGATAAGATTCATGGAAGATAAGCAGCTTAAGGTCTAATCATTCATATTTTCCCGCAGAACTCATTCCACGCCCGGCACGCGCCTGCCTTGACCCTCCATTGTATCTGCGCCTGCGCATGGGCAAGCCCATTGGCAAGGCTATTCCGCTGCCAACCTCTGTCATGTCCTACGGCAAGAACAAGTTGCGCGCTGAATACTGGTTCAGTGTGCCCAAGAATCGGTGAGTAGGGAGTCTACTCAGGAGGGGAATCTCCAAGCAGTCTTTCAATTTTAACCTGGAAACTAATAATCTCCTCCAATTGCAGCGTTGATGAGCTCTATCGCTTCATAAACACCTGGGTGAAACACCTGTACGGTGAACTGGACGAAGAGCAGATCAAGTCGCGTGGCTTTGAGTTGATCCAGGAGGACACCGAGTGGACCAAGAGCGGCACCACCAAGGCCATACTCGGCGGCGGCAGCCAGGATGGCGAGGAGATTAGCGACCTGACCCGCGAGTCCTGGGAGGTGAGTGCTCAGCCATCCATTGGCGGCAGGACCCAATGTCCTGCCTCTGTAGGCGCGACTGTCTCTTTATCTGTCTTTCCATACCGTTTAACTCTTTGCTCTGAGTTTTCTCCTCAAATTGTTTCGTATTTTTCAACGAATCTCTCTCGAGCTCTTTTTTCCACGACATTTTCGAGTTTTCAAGAAACAAAAAAAAAAAAGACAAACCATAAAATTTGCTTTTTTAGGTTATGCCTCAGATATCAATTTAATTAATCTACTAATTAATGAAATTTTTACTCAAAATTCTTCTATACAAATTTATATAATCGAAAATCTTGTTTACATTTTTTCCCACGTGTATTGTACATGCGTTTTCTTCTTCTTTTCTTGTTTTTCTTACTATTTCATTTGCATTTATTTTCCAATCTAAAAAAAAATATATAAACTAAATCAAAAACAAACAAAATATGCTATAATGTGTACAACAAAAAACCCCACCCAATATCAAACTATGTAATAATGTGTGATTATATTAAACTCCTGTGACGAGGACAGCTTATAAAGGCGCCGTTCGCCAAGACCTACAAGATCATTAAAACGGCTTCGCATGCCGCATCGCATGAGGTGGAGTTGTTGGGTGGCGAGGTTAGGAACTAAAAACCTTTAATACGAATTCTTCACCTAAAGCTAAATGTGTTGTCCGCACCAAACTTGAACCCAAAACCAAAAAAAAAGTCTAACAATTTTTTGGGAATTGTGTGAAATATTTGAATTTTTGCATATTTCTATTTAGTTATTTTGTTATTGTTGATTTGAAATACTTTATGCTCGCTGGTATTTTAGTTTTTGTTTCAGTAGTTTTTAAAAGAAATCTAAGCACTACCGCACTACCGTTTTTCTTAGTTGTGTTTTCTCCACAAAAAATCAAAAAATTAAAACCAGAAATTATTATATACACCCTCCCTTTTATCGGCACTTCAAACCGCACTTGTTTGCAACACTCGGCACTCAAGTCCTTTGTCTATTTTTTGGCACCACTTTTGTCCTTTCCCCATCATTGGTTTATGATCCACAAATATTTTAGATCTACTCCCCAAGCGAGCATTTCCAAAATCATATTATGACTTTTGAAAGGAAATTGAAAACTTAATTTAAGATTGGCAAATGTTTATTATGGTCTTTTTCATAGAACACCTTAAATTCAAACATTTTCATTGCATTGATCAAACTCATTCGAACTTTTAATCAAAAGCGTCAAGGACAACAACATATAGGGGTAAAGAATAATTACCTAATTGGGTGTTAATAGGTAATCCACACCTTTTAACTCAAATTGAGTTCATGCACCTTTTTCCAACGTTTCTGGGGCTTCAGTCATCCATTTCGAAACCAACCACATGCATTATCAGTAAAGAAACATGGCCGTATTACCCAACCTAGCCCAAAAGCCATCTTAACCCATTTACATGCGTAATGTACACGACCACAAATAAGTCCAACCTTGCTGCGATCGGCTTATATCACCCGAGAGCCAATCTAGAGGCGGCCCCTTGATGTTCTGCCCCCTTTTTTCGAGTTAACCGCAAACTTCGGGTATCGATATAGACGCCTAATTGATATGCTAATTAGATTGAATGCTACTTTGACGCGGCTGCATTTCGCAACAATGATACATTTTAAAAACTCATCAACATTTTTACAACAATTAGCACAGAGTTTTATCAACTCCCTGCAAATTAGTTTGCACAATATTGGGGGGCACGTTTTCACATTTCCCCCCATAAGCGTGCCAGTTCCAAATTTAGGCTCACGATCGATGAATAATTTTTAAATGGCAGCTTAACTTTTGGAAGGCACTGTGCCAGGCAACGATTTCCACGCCTTATCAGCTATCAGCCTGCGTAGCGGGGCGTCAGCAAATTGTTTCCTCATTAGCTTCGCATCAAAACATCCTTATAATCGTTAATCGGAAAACACACTCTAATGGGGGTGCCTCGGGCTATCAACTGGAATCTTTGCACTTTCAAACGCAGAACAAGGGTTATCATGGGGAAGCTCATGTGTTAGGAAAACGTACAACTGGCAGGTGAAGCCTCATCTGAAGATTTGCTTCCGTTGTGGACTATTAACTGCCAAGACTTCCGCGGCGCTATAATGGTTTGAAGGCATCGGTGGTAACGAACAAAAAAAAATCCAAACAATGGAGTACGACAGCTCTTGATCACTTCTTTGTGTTTATTTTGATGAACCCCAGATGGCCAACCAGATAATGCCCATTAATTGCGTAATGCTTGAGATTAACTCGAGTTCGATTGCTGAGCCGAAAATAGACCAGATCGACAAGATCATCTTGAGGGTACTACTGTCTGTAGCTCTCGTTGGAGCTTAAAAAGGTCTACTAAAGGGCAGAGATACTATCAAGTTTAAGTATGAATGAGCAACAATGTCTTGGGATTATTATTGTCATCAACCGGTTGGTTGGGTTACTGCTTTTGGTGGACTATTTATGCCAAGAGGAGCGCGTGCCGATCATAAATTGTTAATGAGCCATGCCAGCGCCTGATGTCTGAATTACAAATCTCTTTATTTGAGTTCTAATTAAAACACATGTCCTATTAGTCAAAGATGAGGAATACAGCCAACTACGATTAACTATATTCTAATTAAAACCAAATTAAATACGTATTTCAATCCATCCACAGCGGTTGTCATTTAGCCGGTTTCAGTTAGCTGCCGTTTTTTGTCTTTCAATTTGTTGTTGTTTTGTTTGCTTTGTCAGTTGATTGGTGGGGTCGCATCACCATCTATTTTTTCGATGCTAAATCCGGTTCAGTTGAATATAAAAATAGCAGAATAAAATAAAAATAAAAGCGAGTGATGCGCTTTACTTTAAAGCTTCGCCTCGATTGTGTTTTGCTTAAATGTTTAATTAGCGGATGAAGATCGGTCACTACTAGTATCCCCGCCCGGGTGGGGGGCTTGAAAGGCTCTGATGAGCCACTGACGCCAGCGAATCAGCATTTTCTTCCACAATTGCCAAGCATTGTACTTGCACGATCAATTGGCTTCAATGAATGTCTACGAACGAAGCTGGGAGGACAATTGGAATTGGATTGCCCAAAGGCCTGTTCGCATCTTCAGGCCCCCATCCTCCCCATCGAAAGTATCTCTTCAATTTGCATATCGCCCTGGCAGCCCCCCTGCTTCTGGGACTATCAAAGAGCTACCCGCTACATTGTAAATGCACTTTTATATTAAATTGCGCACTTTATTATTGCAGTCCCATAAACACTTGTTTAATTTGTGCGATGATATGCGTGCGAGGAGAGTAAAAGCTTTTAGTATTCCTCCAGAACGTGGGTGCGGCTTTGAATAATTAAGAATTGCTGGGGTGTTCATAAACGATCTTGTTAAAAGTGTATTTTTAGCCAGGAACCATAAATTCGTTAAGACTGCCCCTTAACGGGGCATAATTTTTATTAAATGCACTCAGATTAAATCACTCAAGATTATTGTATGAAATTACCATACCTTGACTTGTAATAATTGTAATGCAACTTAACACTTCTATAATACCAATATATCATCTTGTTGAATAACTGTTTCAACCTGGCTATAATAATTCTATTTATAAGTTGAACTTGTTTAGAAAATGACTAGATTTAACCCTGCTTTCTCATCAATCTTACAAAGGATCGTTAACATGTTCTTGATCTTGATTGTTGCGATAAGAGGGGGTCTATCTGCGAGTTCATCTAGAATTTTCCAATATAATGAAAAACTAAGTACAATTCACTACAAAGGCTTTGATTGCCTTTCAAGGAATAAGTACACATAAATATTGAATGTGGACACACAGTCGGTTAGCCGTCGAATTGCTTCGCTTTAAACGGGCAGAGTAAACAAATGGCACACCGGTGCAATAAATATAGACGGTGTGCAATCAATTGATTAGCATGGCAGTTAATATGTTTGCTTACCTGTAAACCAAAGCACAGGCAAACACCTGAACGGTAATTACCAAGAATAGAGCTTGGAGAGCGGCTCTGGGGTATGTTTTGTAGAGAAAAAGATACAAATACTTGTGGGTATAAAATCTGAAAAACATATAACATTTTTAAAATATTTTTTGAACCTCCTTTTAAGGATTTATGAGGGCTAGTTCTAATTTTTGAAACATTTTTTAATAAGAATAAAAACAGTTGAGAGTACTTTCTCCTATTATAACTTGACATTTGGAATATTACTGTTTTTATTATTCTATACATCCTATTATGTTTTTGAAGCCAAAGCCGAGAGACATAGAATTCAATAAAGCCCCACAGCATCCCACTAACAGTCGCTTCCCAAATTAAAGGCACACCCCAGTTATCAGTAGCAGCGACTGAAGAGCAGCACCGTCGCCCGCGACCAGCTGAGCCACGTTTTTTACTGTTGATATTGTTATTGTTTTTACTTGTTTTTAGTTTTGTTGTTGTTATTGCTATAGCTGGTGTTGCTGCTGTTGCTGCTTTGCGGCGACGACGGTGACGGTGACTTCGACTGAGCCAGCGATTGCCGAGTGTTTTAGTTTTCGCAACACAACCAAGCCCCACAGTCGCCGCCAGAGCTCCGCGTCTTAAAAACTCATTATTTTTCGTATTTTTCAACGAATCTAGAGTTCAGACCGATTATTAAAAATAGTCTTCCAAAAATGTGACTTCAGTTCTGCCATTCCATAAACGGCATACATTTTAAATAGTGCACTTGTGCAAACAACTTCGGGTTTTTTGGGGACTTTTCGACGTCCCAAGAAGAGCAGCGTGTCCAAAATTAGATACGCCCCTTAGCAGGAAAGCGGAAAAAACAGAAAACGTCAAGAGCGCAAAGAAAGTGCGTCTTGCTCTCTCGGTCTTCGGTCTGCGGTCTCCGTTCTTCGTGTCTTAATTCTTCTGATTCTTCTGCCGATGCCGTCGCCTGAAAATCCCACCAAAATGAGCGCCAAAGCAATGAAAATCTCAAAAATAGCCAAATACATCAAGAAAAGGGTAAATATTTATGAACCATGCCAAAACCATGCGAGAAAACCAAAATTATTAGTCTGCTCCCAGACGCGCGAGACATTTCTACCCGGGGTGAAAGTCTTTACCAAAAATAAAAATATATATAAATAGCAAAACCTGAAGCGAAAACCATAAACGAAATCGAAAAACCGAGAAAATTGTGTTTCAAAATGCAGTAGTCGGATTTGTAGTCCACCCGCGTTTCAGCCGAAAGCCAAAAAGTATTCAATGCCTCGGCCATAAACGCTGGCCATATCGATCGACAAAAAATCGGCAATTGGCCCATAAGGTCGGGCCACTCTCGAAATGTCCAGCCCCGACAATAATGATCGTGTAAATGCTTTTGCAACGAAGATGGAATGTGAATGGATGCTATAAGCTATACGCATACCATATATACTCATAAACTCTTATTTAAACGCTCTGTGCAATCCTTGTGTGTGCTCGTAATTTGTCTGAGAATTAAATATGAATTAGTTAGTGAAATGGTTGAAATTACCCTGGAATTCGTTGCAGCGATAAAGCGAGGATTTCTTGGCAGGCAAATCTAAATTTAGTTGAAAACTTTTCCACTCCTCTTATCGCCTCAGCAAACATATATAG